TGTCTGCCCCCTGGTGGTCAGTGCACGTCATAGCGAGCGGTTGAGCGGCCTTAGCATATCATTAGCATATTACGCTTTGATTGGTTGAATGGACAACCGGACACTTAGCATATTAGGCTTTTGCTATATAGGATTGTTGAAATGACACGGTTGTTACACTCAGAGAGATAAGTGGTCAGGGGTGGGGGAATGGGGGGGTAGGGAGTGAGGCAAAAGGAAGTGGGCGGAGCTACAATTTTGGGGGGGACAGCCTTGTTCTGTGTCCAGACCTTAACGGGGAAATCCCAAGCCTCTGTGTTAGGACTAGGGTTTAGAGTTCAGGGTTAGGGCTAGAGTTAGGCTTAAAGTGTACGGTTCAGTGTTAGGATTTAGGGTTTGGGTTAGGGTTAGGATTTAGGTTAGGGTTTAGGGTTTGATTTAAAGTTAAGGGTTAGGATTAGGGTTTAGGGTTAGGTTTAAGGTTTAGGGTTTGGGTTAGGGCGAGGGTTTAGGGTTAGGATTTCGGTTAGGGTTTAGGATTAGGGTTTAGGGTTAGGTTTGAGGTTTAGGGTTTGAATTAGGGCTAGAGTTTAGGGTTAGGTTTAGGGTTTGGGTTAGGATTAGGGTTTAGGGTTTGGGTTTAGGGTTAGGTTTAGGTCTAGGGTTTAGGGTTTGGGTTAGGTTTAGGTCTAGGGTTTATGGTTAGGTTTAGGGTTTAGGGTTTGGGTTTAGGGCTAGGGTTTATGGTTAGGATTTCGGTTAGGGTTTAGGATTAGGATTTGGGGTTAGGTTTAGGTTTAGGGTTTGGGTTAGGTTTTAGGGTTGGGTTAGGGTTTGGGTTTGGGTTTGGGTCAGGGCTAGGGTTTAGGATTTAGATCAGGGTTAGGGTCAGGGTTTAGATTTAGGTTTAAGATTTAGGGTTAGGTTTAGGGTTTGGGTTAGGTTTTAGGGTTTGGGTTAGGTTTTAGGGGTTGGGTTAGGTTTTAGGGTTGGGTTAGGGTTTGGGTTTGGGTCAGGGCTAGGGTTTAGGATTTAGATCAGATTTAGGGTTAGGGTTTAGATTCAGGATTATGATTGCTGAGGGTTAGGGCTTAGGGAGCGGCCTGGTTTTGTCAACCTCCGCCCACAGCTGTCCTGTTTCTCACATTTTCGCCAAACCCTCCCTGCACCAGAGGCTGTGACTTGTACGCGTGTGGGTTTCTTGAACCGGAAGTGGTACCTCCCTTCCCGGTTCTGTTGGGCCAGCCGCACATTGACAGCTTCGAAGTGGACCCTGGGAACAGGTATCTGTTAGGTTCCCTTGGCTGCACCTCGAGTAGATGCCACAGAAAATTCTTGTCGCGCCAAACGCACACCCCAGAAACCCTATCTTTCTTTATCACATTTCCTTTTATTTAAAAAATATTTATTTAAAAAATATATATTTGATTTCAGAGAGGAAGGGAGACGGAGATAGAAATATTAATGATGAGAGAGAACCATGGATCGGCGGCCTCCTGCACGCCCCCTACTGGGGATGGAGCCCGCAACCCGGGCATGTGCCGGTGACCGGGAATCGAACCCTGACCTCCTGGTTCCTAGGTCGACGCTCTAACCACTGAGCAACACTGTGTGGGCTCAGATATACTTTCAAAAATCCTTTTCCATTTTATTGAACGTATTGGGGGTGACACTGGGCAACAAAATTATTCAGGTTTTAGAGGCACAATCCCACGACACATCATCTGTATACCGTCTTGTTTTGGAACGTATTGTTTATTGATTTCAGAGAGGAAGGGAGAGGGAGAGAGAGAGAGAGAGAGAGAAACATCCATGAGGAGAGAGAATCATGGACCGGCTGCCTCCCGCACGCCCCCTACTGGGGATGGAGCGCACAACCAGGCCACGAGCCCTGACCGGGAATAGAACTGGGGACCATTGGGTTCCTGGCTCAACGTTTGAGCCACGCCAGCCAGCCTGGGGGCCGGGGCGGGGGTCCGTATTTATATCAAACCGTGACCCCCCAATAGCGCCTCCCCCCGGTTCCCCTGTGGCTACACCAAGCCGCTGTCCCGGCCCCCAAAGAACCCGCTGTTCACCGCATCCCCAAACGTCACCACCGGCTCGTGGTCCAGCCCCCACTCCCCCTCGTCCTCGTCCTCGGGCTCCGGCTCCGCGCGACGCACCAGTATTTCTGCAGGACCTTGGGCAGCACCGGGAAGAGCGCCTGGCGCTCGCTCCACCACTTCAGGGGGTCCTCGTCGAGCCCCAGGACCTTCTGCGACTTGAAGTTGCTCAGTTCCTCCAGCACCTGCGCGTGCCGCTCCTCCTGGTCCTCGGAGGCCCCCGCCTGCGGGCAGAAAATCTCCGCCAACATGTTGTTGATGACGCTGGAGGGCGGTGGCGGCGGCTGCGTCCTGGCG